GAGAACTTCTAACTTGTTCATCATTTTTCAAAACCAAAACCACCATTGGATTCGTACAACTGCATCTAAGAGATATTAATGGTCGAAAAAAAGATTTGATGAACTTTTTTTTTTGGAAATTTGCATATATGTGAATCTAAATGTGCATGCATGCACATATTTGTTTTTTTTTTTTTTGGTTTTTTGATGTTTTCAGGTTACGTTTCTCTTAAACACTGGAGTTTTGGTCTAAAATTAACAAACTAATTTTGTAACCAAATTAGTAAGTGTGGTGTGATATTTGAAATAAGATGTAAAAAATAGAAGTGCTTAAGATCTTAAAATATGTCGAAGATTTTGGTGGTGTCCAAGGTCATGGGAAAGAAACGATAATGCTCAGAAAACATTTTAGTAAAAGTTAATCTATTTCGAAATGTAAATATGTGTTTGAAGTATTTAGGACAAAAATAGAGTTAAAGTAGTGAAGTAAGTGGATTTATATAATAAATCTCAAGATACTAAAAATGATACCAAGATGCCAGAAATTATCTTGGTAATATCGACAATGAAAATAAATTAATAATCAAGTAAATATAAGAAAATGTTACCACCGATCAAGCAACAAATAGGAAATGAAAGTAAATACAAGAACACAACGAATTACGAGGAAAGCCCTTAATCATTTTGGATCTACGGTATAATACCTCGGGAGGTGATGAAATCACTTGCCTTAGAACTTATATTAAATTGAAATAAAATTACAAGTGCTAGCTAATCTTAAAGATGATGTAAAAGTGGTCAAGTGTCGAGAGAATCAGAGTGAAAGTGGCAGTGAGAATGTGTGTGTGAGTGATAATCAGCTAGGCTTTATATACATAACAACAATAACAAATATTCTGACATTCTAGCAAGGTTCTAAATAACGTAAGACGTGACTTAAGGCGGCAATTTTGTATATAATCCATAATCTATATATATATATATATATATATATATATATATATATAATACTATTATTCATTTTTATATACATATATAACTTAAACCGACATTTTGTAAAAGTTTGGCGACAAGTACAAGCATTGGAGCCATGGAGAGATTTTTAGAACCTTGCATTATAGGTATCTTCCTTGATCCATGTCCAAGCCCGCTTTTGCGATAATCTTCAATGTTCACAAGGTTTTGACCACGTGTTATTGACTTGGTCTACTCTCCTCTAGTCAAGACTTTAGTTCCTGCATAAGATATTACAAGAAACACGATGGCAGTCCAATATATTGATTAAATCCAAGATCTTGGGCTTACACGAGATGTTAGTAGAAGTTCAAGATATCAAGATAAAAAGAGTAAGAAAATTATACCCATAACAATTACCCCAAGAAATCTTAAATCCAAGATCTAAGGAGTTGGATATTTCTTGGCTTTTGAAAGCGGATTGTTCAAATGAGGCGACATGACATGCTTTTCCAGGATAAATCTTATATGTCCATGATATCATGGGAATTTTGAATTCCGAATGGACGAGATTTGCGTTTATAAACCCACCGAAAATTCTTATTCTTCTTCTAGTCAGTTTCCGATCATCAAGGTTTTCTTCATGCTCCTCTAGGTAATAACTTCCTTCATTTCACTTGTTTTTTTCTTGTGTTTCTTAGTTTGATCATGGGAAAAAACACGTTCGAGCTAGGGATAGATCACAGAAACCTGTTATCAAGGATTTCATAGATTTAGGTTATTACTTGGTAATGAGAGCCAAGTTAGTAGTTTTTCCAATGCCGATATCAACTTGCTTTGATTATCAGGCAAGTTTCCACAAGATACAATCTTTAGGGTCCATGATTCATTGTTAAGAGCTATATATCTTTCTTCGCCCAGGGTTTGTTTTTATGAGTTTCCTTTTATCATTATCCTATTATACCCTTTTCCTCCACTGATTTCAGAAGTTTTTCAAGTTACCCAACTTTCTTACGCCCGATTCATGCCAATTATTTGGCGTATCTTGTTTTGGATTCATCATCTAAATAAATATGAATGTTTCGATCTTGGGTTATCTAAACTAATGAGTATCTATAATCTCTGGACTTTCAACTATTCTCGTGTTGTTCTCAAAGTAAAGACTGGTAAATCTCATTTAGTCTTTGTTGTGTGTTAGATTTGATTACGAACACAACTGATTTAAGAAAAACAGTTTAAGAACACAAGATGTAAATATAATCTGGTTGGCTCATATTAAGTCTAAAGAGAGTTCAAAGTATCGAGAGTGTTTTACAATCTGAAGTGCATAAAAGTTACACTCTACTCTAGTACTTACCCTATTTATAGGGTACAACATACTCAACAAAAAATACAAGGACTAAACATTGTAGCTTCGAATATTAATTGTGCCTTGCAAATACATAGATAGTTGAAATCATTTGGATTTCGACTCTTTACAGACTCATATCATTTTCACTCCACATTATAAACGTTTCGACCCTACAATCTCCCCCTTAGTGAGAGTAGTCGAATATATGTCATTAGCTTTAGAGTCTAAATAAGTACATTCTGAATCTCCATATACCACAAAATAATCTTTCGAATCTCTGCCTTGTCTTCAACTTCATTCTTCTTGCAGTGGTTAATTCGAACAAGGAGATTAGTATACTGAGAATTTGTATACCTCTCTAGATCACTTACTTGAAACAAAAATTCCGTCATTCTCCCATTCTCGTTCTTTCCTCGACACACGACCCCAAAAGGCTGATGAATAATCTCACCATCTTCATAATCATCGATGTTAATTTTTCCTCTTAGCAAAGATTGAGGGACTTTCAAAGGTTTCTTTACAGTTAAAGCAAGCTCAATATCAGTGATTGCCATGTAATCATAGTAGTTGTCTATGAAAACCTTGATATGAGCAAAACCAATGATGAAATCATCCTTGTTGCTCCCAGTTATCTTCGAAACATCAACATTACTCAAAATCTTTGTGACCGTGATCAAGTCATTTAAGTTCATCAATGGGAAGTCTACAATTGTGAACTCACACGCAATATTGTTCTCTCTTAAGACCACATAGCGAAAATTTTGCAGAAGACCTTCGAACAAGTTGTCACGCATGATATTCATCACCTTCACTATCTTTACAGGTGACCATACCTCTTCTTCACTTTTTCCCAAGACTGCATGACAATGAATATTCAGTCTTTTGAATGCATCTTTATCATTGAAATTTTCAACAATCTTGAACTGAGAAGATGTGAATAACATGTGGTTGATCGGAAAATCAATTTGTAATTGGAATTCTCAATGTTATAGTTCTTCTTAGGAACCTTTCAAAAATAATCATTTAACCCCAATCGAAACAATATCATCAATCATTTCATAACACCACTGCTTGTTGGGATCACCCTTGTTGAAGCCAGGTGGGTCATTAGCTCTTCAACTCAAGATACTGTTGATCTTCCTTTGCTTCTCGACTTCAAGAGCTTGTTGCTTTTTTTTATCTTCTTCTGATGGAACCACAAAAATACTTTTCCTTTATTACTTAGATCATCATTAGAAGTTGGTGGAATTGAACTTGAGCTCGAACCTCCATCTCCTTAGTTTATTGAGATTCCTTTTGTAAGTGCTCTTGTAGTTGTTGTTATTGTTGAATTTGTGGTCAATGATATGGGAAGTGAAGTCGGAATTTGAGTCGAACTCACTTTTCCAACAACAACCCCTTTCTCAGGATCTTTTGAAGAACCAACTCCTCCAAATCCTTTCTCTCACCCTTGTGACACTAGCACTGCATGTGGAGCATTAGTTGGTAAACAAAGAACCAACTCCAGGATTGGAGCAAGCTCTGATTTGATATTGGACTCAATATTTAAAATCAATTGAGAAATAGACTCTTGAGTGACTATTGATTGGTTCGAAAGATCAACTTTTGATAGAGACTCCTTGATACTGGATAAAATTTCTTCCATCTTTTCAAACACCTAAGAATCTTTTTATGACTTCACTTCAAGCTTGTTCGTATACTTAGTGTTTAACTCAACCAACTTAGAGATAACAGTCGCAATGACATCAACTTTGCTATGCAATAAAGTATAGTTTTGCTCTATTTTCCGAACTTCCTTTGACAACTCAGATTTGAGTTTAGCAACTTTGAGATCCACATATTCCTTTATTTTGGTCACTTGTTCAACAAAAAGTTCATGACGTTCCTTTGCAATGTCACGAAGCTTCTGAATCTCATAGTCAAAGCTCTTGGATTGAATTGCTAGATTTTCGGCTTGTTTATGCTCAATTCCCTCAACCAAGCTTCGAAAGCTATTTTCTTGAGGTTTCAAAAAATACTCCATCTCAATACCAGTTACAAAATTCCTTCCTCCTGTAGCTGCTTGTATTTGAAGAAGAGAATTTATTTTTGAATTGAGGATTTTGAACTGTTTACCTGACATGATTAAGTTATCAGGAACATTCTCCTCCTCAGGATCAAATTGAAGATCAGCAAAGGACACCATGATCTCATCCTCATTAGTTTCTTCATCATGAATCATTATCCAAGCCTCAGTGGATTGAGAAGAGAAGAGAGAGTGGTAACCGGTTCATGCATGATAGTAGAATATGTTTGTGAGATGGTCGAAACTGGAACTGAAGTTGTTAAGGGTGATGAAATTGGTGGTAAAGTTGTTGTGGTTTCAATTGTTGAAGTTTCGATTGTAGAGGAGATGATGGTTGAAGTTTCAAAGGTAGAAGTAACAGAAGATTCGTTGTTTTGCATCCCTTCATCCGTATTGACATTTGTTTCCTTATCAGATAAGTTCACAGGGATGTGTAGAGTTCGAACCTCCTCCGTATTACACTTGGTTTGTGAAACACCGGATGGTATGGCTATTGCCTTCGCAGGTATGGATGTGGGTGGTTGATCATTCGAATTGATGTTTGTATCCATATTAGATACGTTTATAGTGACATCAGGATCCCCTGTCGCCTCCAAATTTGGCTTGAGAGGAGAATCCCTTCGAGGTGATCCAAGCACAGAGTCTTCTATGTGAATGTATGATCTGCCACTATCACTGTCGTGATCAGTTTCGACTGTGTCTTTATCAAGTGGATCCTGGTGCTTTCGTTTCTTCTTTTGCAGTTTCTGAGCCATATCCAGGGCTTGACGCTTTGTCGATGCAGGTGAAACAAGAATAGATACTTCTCGAAACAAAACACATTTCCTGTTGAACTGAGGCTTTCGAATCTTCTTGATACCCTTCTGAGAAGAAAGAGTATTTGAGGAATCAACATAAGTTTGCTAAGTACTTTCTATTCCAGGTTCTTGCACAGGTTTCTTGACTGGGGAATCAGTGGATTTCTTTTCAGGTTTCATTGTTCGCTTGAGAATTCCAGATTTCGAGAATAATTTCTTTCGTAACATCCTCCTCCACTATTGGTGGTTTCTCAACCTACTTTTTCTTCTTTGGAGCTTTAGAAGCATTAAAAGAACCTTCAGCCCCCTTTGGTGAAAGAACACCAATTGATACAATAGAGTTAATCGAAGCCAAATATTGCACAAGAAGTGATTTTTAGGATCAACAAGCTTGAGCATTGCATCAGGAATCTGCGCAACAGTTGGAAACATGACTGGATCATCAACAAATATCCTTGGGGCAGTCATAGTCGAAAACTCAGCAATTTCGACATCAAAAGGAACTAGAATCTCCTCTTGTCGATAAACCTCTTGCAAAATCAGACTCCAATAACGAGCACTCGAAACACCATTAGCAAGATTGGTGTGTAATTGCAGTTGCAAACTCCTCTCAAAGATATGTGGCATAGTCCACATTCAGATCATAGTACAACCCTGCGATGACTGATTAAATCTCAAGTTTGGCTTTGTCTAGCCTTGAGCTTCGTCTTGTTAAGCAACGTAACACGATCCCAAATAGAAAAATCTATATGCAAGGAAGACTTGACATCTTAAAATGACTTATCCCAGTAAGAGCTGATTGATGCCCCATTTCATTGAACATATGAAGCACTTGATCAGTCAAAACTTCATAAAAGGTACCTGACACTGGAAACTTCAGGATTTGGGAAAATTGCTTCCTTTTAAGCTTTCTAGTCTTTGAATTCGTCAACTGAAACGTGACCACCTTCGTTGTTTTGTTGAAGAAAACAGTGGAACCAACAAGAGAAATCCATTTCATTGGAACTGTGAATGAAGAAACCTAGTATCATTATTACTAGATTTTAGTCTAATATTTATTGCGACTAATTATTAGTCTAGATTCATCATTAATTCAGAGTCTACGTCATCATCTATCAAGTAAGGATCAGCCAGGCAGGACAGTTGGGAGGCGGGACCATTTCGGCATATAGCTTTTCTGAAATCCGACAACCAAACCCAACGTGACCGTTCTAGACACCTCTACCGTAAGTAGTTCAATTACTATAACAACTTTGAATCACTGATAAGTCTTGTTTATAGGTTCATAATAACGATAATGAACTTAAACATACGTTATACTTAAAGAAGGGTAAGCATAACTCACTTACTGGTGGTTTTAGCGAGGAACCGGGCTCTGCGCGGACAGAAATTTTGAGGCAAAAGCTCTTCTTCTCAGAGCCTTCTGGCGCTCCGGGACTCGCTACTAACTCCAAATAAGTGCTAGAGAAAAGCCTTGAGGCTTTGGGGAGGTTTGGGAGAGAAGTTGAGAGAAGGTGTGTAGAAATGAAATCATTTGCGCCTCTATTTATAGGTTGGAAATCAAGCAACGTGGCATGTTATTTATCCCAAAACGTTGTGTTGGGGTACCAGGTGTCATCATCTGATGGCAAGGCGTGGGGAGGAAGCTGTGTCTGAGATGGTGTCACGTGTCACTCGCAGATTACTCCAAAAACTAATTATCTTCTAAAATTCGAAACTTTTGCATACGAGCTCCATTTTTGATGTTATTTATATCCACGCGTAGGTATCGACGGGATCTACAACTTTTGTTTAGACTCCATCAGCTAATTTTAAATTTATTTTTAAAGTTATATTTTAACAGGCTTAGATAGTTAAAGTCCGTTAAAAATTCATAACTTTGTCATCCGACGTCTGTTTTCGACTGCCTTTATATCGTTGAGCTCCTATTAATGAGATCTTTAATTCTCATTTAGGTTGTGTCGGCTAAAAATCGATCGATCTAAAATTCGATTTTCGGGTTGTGCACTGCTATGCAAAATATTAGAAAAATCATAACTTCCTCTAACGAAGTCACATTTGGACATTCTTTTTATTTACATTCTCAGTTTAGCGTATACTATGACTTTCGTTTAGATCGCTAAGGCTAAAAAGTATTTTTTCAAAAATTCATTTATTACGATACGCGGCGACGTGTCGGTTTTGTCGCAAAACTTCTACAGGTCATAACTTATTCGTTTTAAGTTGGATTTCAACGTTCTTTATGTAACGCCCGTGTTTCTGGGCTACGCATTAGTATAGTAATGAAATAGTCAAGGTCAACCATTATAACTCAGTTTGAAGTAATAAGGAGGAGTTATTTGAATATCATGTGAATTATGTGATTTTATGTGTTTTACACTTGTTTATAATGATATAATAAACTAAGAATGAAAATAAGCGTCAAAAATAAAATGTTAGATAAGCCCGATATCGATGAAGAAAGTTGTAGTGGCCGTGACAAGGATTCCGGAGATATAAAGAACGCCGAAATCCGAGTTATAACGAAGAAGTTATGACTTGTCGACGTTTCGCGACAGAACCGGTACGACACTGCGTGACGTAAAAACTGAGTTTACGATAAAGTACTTTTTAGACTAATAAATCTAAACAAAAGTCATAGTGTTTGTTAAACCGAGAGCGTGAATAAAAAGAATGCCCAAATCTGACTTCATATGAGGAAGTTATGATTTTTTTCCAAGTTTCGGATTAACAGTACACAACCCAGAGTTCGAATTTTAGATCGAGCAGTTTTTGGCAAACGCAACCTAAATGAGAATTGAAGATCTCATTATTAGCAGCACAACAGTAAAAAGATAGACGAAAACGGACGTCGGATGAATAAGTTATGAATTTTTAATGGACTTTTCCTGTCCCGGCCTGTTAAAAATATAACTTTAAAAATAAAGTCAAAATTAACCAACGGAGTCTAAACGAAAGTTGTAGAGTACGGTCCCGCCTACGCGTGGATATAATGAACATCGAAAACGGAGCTCGTATACGAAAGTTATAAATTTTAGAAGACGGGAGAGCAAATTGCGAGAGCTGTTGCGAGGCTACGCCCGCGTAGAAGTGAAGAACGCCCCGCGTTCGGATACTAGGACCGGAGATAGCCACGTCGCTCCAGCCGGAGGGTGGCACGCATTCGTACAAACCTCGGATGTCGCTCCCTCGCACGCCCAGCATTCGCATAAACGCCCAGCGTACCAGCGAAGCTACGTGCAACGTAGACCGAGGCTTCGGCCTATATAAAGGGTGCGAGGCAGCCATAATTCTACACCCCTTTTACACCTTCTTTCTCTCTCTACTCTCTCTCTCTCTCTAAACTTCCCAAACACCCCCAAAGCCTAAGAAACCTCCCTAGCATTAGAAGAAAACCCCGAGCACCTGAAGGCTTCGAGAAAAAGAGTTTTTCGGTTTGAAACTCTGCCCACGCAGAGCCCGGTTTTCAAGCCAACCTCCCGGTTTCATCAAAGAATATTATTTTAAGAAGCGAAATGTTGTCCGAATCACTCCTTATCAAGTGAGTGCATGGTCACTTTCATCTTACACATAGATATGAAATATTTTATATAAATTACGTGCTATGTGTGTGTGTGTATATATATATATATATATAGTATATATATATATATATATATAATATATATATATATATATATATATATATTACCCTGTTTACCTGAGATGAATGATGGATGAAGATCTATGCTTCTATCTTTTCAGATATGAACTTTATCTTTCAGATCTAAACTTTTTCTATTGGATTCGAAACTTTTCCCTTCAGATCTAAACTTTCTCACTTCAGATCTAAACTTTTAAATCTAAACTGTATATATATATATATATATATAATATATATATATATAATATATATATATATATATATTCTATATATATATCAGTTCAATAAACAGTAAATAGTGTGAGAACGGAAAAACTTTTTTTATGTTATTATTCTGCAATGATTTTGTATCGACAACTTTATGTCATTAATTCAGCAAAGAATATATGATAGTCAAAGTTAAAATTAAATTAGAATTTACTACAAAAAATGCACATATATAAGTTTATAACAGAATATAACATTGTAATGAAGAATGACTAATCGAAAGTTAATATTTGATATTAGAATTACTTCAA